AGAAGAAGAAGAAGAAGAAGAAGAAGAAGAAGAAGAAGAAGAAGAAGAAGAAGAAGAAGAAGAAGAAGAAGAAGAAGAAGAAGAAGAAGAAGGAGAAGGAGAAGGAGAAGGAGAAGGAGAAGGAGAAGGAGAAGGAGAAGAAGAAGGAGAAGGAGAAGACAGCAACAACAACTGTGTGTCGATACTAATTTTGGGAGTAAGGCAGCAAGTGAAAGTAAAGCTAATTTCAGTGCAAATCTCGACAGATTTAGAAACTAGAAAAAAAACAGCAGTGTGAGTGACAGTCTGACGTTACTAATCGAGTCTTTGAATGAGTTGGTGCTGGTAAAGACTTGCCCTTATAATATAAAATCATTCTATACAATTATAGTACACCAACACACTCAGCTATGTTATACACTACCATATTTATACTATATTTAATCACTGAATTATTATTATACCAGACCAAAGCATGACATTTCATGCCATAAATTCCTTTGCCATACCATAATATCATATCATACGACAATACATCACACTATACCATAGTACTATATCTTAACATCCACACCATATTACTCCTTCATATTTGATCGTACCATACCATACTACCTTGTATCACACCATATAATTTCAGACCAATCAATGCCATAACATATCACATCAAGCCTACCGTATCACACAGTAACATAATGGCATTTCACCATACCATATTATACCATACATATCATACATAGCATACTTTACCATACTCCACCCTATCAAATCAATCCATACCATCTATTGCCATATCATACCATACTCCACTCTATCAAATCAATCCATACCATACCATTTATTGCCATACAATACCATACAATATCATATCATATCATACCACACGACACCACACCACACCATACAATACCACAGCATAGCTCATCACAGCGGACCAAACCTCACCAAAAGTTGCTTGTGGTGCAGCCAAAGGGAAAGAGACTACCTTCATGAGTAATTCTTCTTATGGAAAATCAATGGACGTAACAGTGGGTTCTGGAGTCCTTGGTCTTCAGTGCTCACAGAGCTGTGATGACGTCACAACAACAAAAATGATCACCAGCTGTTTCGTCAAAATAAGAATAGTTTACGGAATGCCCCTACAGCCTCTTTTGCCACTTACGGTCAGAATTATCCAAGTCCAACACCCATCGTCGAGTAGAACAGAGGTTGTCATTGACAAGTGGAAATCTTGGACACTATCACCACAACATTAATATAGAAAACACTCAAAGGAGGAAGTCGGAAGTGATCGTTTGTGTAGGTGATTGTATTGAACTGTTGGTTGTTACGCATCTTCGACTGTATTTACTATTAATAACCAGATGATAAGTCAGTCACGCTGTGGGAAAATGTAGACAGTGACAGGGTCTTCCAGGGTCCCTGGTCTCAATACTTACCAAGCTGTGGTAAAGGCACAAACAATAACAACAACATCAGCAACAACAACATCAGCAACAACAACAAAAGAAACAAGAACAACAAGAACAACAACAGCAACAACATCAACAACAACAACAAGAACATCAACAACAACAAATAAATATCATTAGTTGCCTCAAAGCAATAAGTCTTGTAAAGTACAAGTCGAAATTGTCGAAGACGGCCACCCGCTGTCGAGGAGAAAAGTGTTTGTCTCAGACATGTGGAAATCTTGAACAGTATAATAATACATGTATATAAATCAAAACAAAAATCAAGAGGTTTCAAAACGCAGGAAAGCCTCTTGTTACAGCTTTGTTACTGAAAATACCTGGACGAGGATTTCAGCCATTATCTTCAACGTCTCTCCACAGTCGCCCACATTCTGTCTTGGGGAGTTTCCAGACAAAAGCGTTATTCAAATAATAAAAACGTATGCAGTTGCAAAAAGTCTTAAAACTTCAACCAAACTAAAAACTGAACAGGAAGACATCAAGAGGCACCTTGCAGTAGTGAAATAGTAATGTTTTGTCTAATTTTATTTTCTTCATAGTGCTCAATTTAAAATCAATGAGTGTCCAAGTCATGTTACTGATCTGGACGTTCTCTCTCTCTCTCTCCCTCTCTCTCTCTCTCTCTCTCTCTCTCTCTCTCTCTCTCTCTCTCTCTCTCCCACTCACGCATACACCTACACACAAACGCATTATAACACGCCTAATATTATACACACTTTCTCTTTCTCTTCTTCTCTTTTTCACGCACGCGCATGTGCATGCACACACACACACACACACACACACACACACACACACACACACACACACAC